ACATACATAGTCTGATCCCATAAGTAGATCAGTTATGACTCTGCCACTTGTAAAACTAATGTCTCCCCTCCCCCAACAATTGTTTGATCTCATATCCAATTTTTGATTAAATTGTATTATGTATTTCAGAAGTCTTGATTTTCAGTTTTTTTAAAATTATTGTGGAGATTATGAGCTGACTGTGTTTAGGAAGGAAGTCTTGTTAGCCAAATCAGATAATGTGATGATGATGATGATGATGATGATACTATATTCTCAGATAAATTCACATGGTATTGTACACAAACTAGGTGTGAGTTATATGTATTTGTTTTGAATAACTACAGGAGGAGATTTTAAAGGGGGGAATGACAAACACAGAGACATAGGTTGTTTAATATTTGTTCTTCTGTTTTCTGTTCCAAAGTATTTCCACTTCTTGTTAATACTTCAAGAGCATTAATATATATACATATAAACACATGAGCTAATTTAGCTCCCAGATATGTATAATGTGCATTATATTTATATACTAAAAGTGTATAAATTCTTAAGGTTTTTAATTAAACCATAACTTTTAAGGAGGTAGCAGTCATTTGTTTCTAAACTGAGAAAATGTAAAGAATACTTGTAAAGATTACATATACATCCCACATGCTAAGTATGGCTTCTTGCTTGTATACTTTTGAACAATTGTGAAGCGGTTTCAAGAACACTTTTAAATACCATGCTTTCAAGGCTGGTTGGTTCTTATGCATCTAATGAAGCAAAGTTTAATCCATGAAAGAGCATGTAATACTACATTTATTATTTAAAATGGTATAGCATATTAATAATTCATATTTTAAAACATACTTGCTGAAACCATAATTTCCTATTTATTCTTGATAGCTCCAGAAACATTGGAGTACCTCCATTCATTGCAATAAAATTTCAGAGAAACTGATTTCTAGGTTGCACTTTTAATTAATATTTATTTTTTCAGTTTAATTTTCAGTGTAGAAATATTTTTTGGTTAAAATTATGAAAATTATATGTTGATGGTAATTAAAATAAAAAACTATTGTAAAACAAAAACAAACTTGTCTAATATATATAAAGGTATTTCTAGTCAATGCTGAAAAATGAAAACATGGTACTGGTAGGTTTATGTAAAAGCAAAAAAATATTGAATATGTATCATATTTGATGATACCAAGAATTTTGAAGATGAATATTGAGACTAAATGTGGACTCTTTTTATTGGCACTGATGAATAGTAAAGTTAGAAAAGACTTATGGAAGACTGTGTTATATATACTTAAAGTAAGATTATTATATGCACAAAGATATTTCAAATATTGAAATGGAGGAATGTATTCTGAAGATGCCAGAACTAGCATTGCTTGCTGACAAAACTGACTTGCTTGGTTAGGCACAAAATACTAAGTTCTTTGATAAAAGAAACTTTGTATGCACTATTAGCTGAAAATACAAAAAAGTGAAATAGTGATTCCCAGACTAAATGATTAAAAAAAAGATTTAATGAGGGGCTGAAGAAATTATTGTAATGTTGAGAAAAAAGGGAATTAAGAGAAAGGACCAGAAAATAAAGAGAAACAGGAAGCAAACAAGAATGAAAAGAAATTAAATGTTTAGGAGGGTGAGAGATAATGGGTAAAAAAGGAGAGGGAAGGAGATTCCGCAAGGTACTGGCTTGTGATTCATAAGAATAAGTATTGAAAATAGTTAATACTGGAACTGATATTGTTTTTTCTTTCTCCCTCTCTCTTTTTTTAAATTAACACTATATTAGATATGGAATGTAATGAAATAAATATGGAAATGGGAATTTATAATAAGAATTTCAATTGATGATCAGAGATGTATAAAAATATGAGAATCATTATGGAAAGATTAATATCAGTTTCTATAATTAACTGACTAGATTAATATTTTTCCAATGTATAGATGACTTACAAGGTGATTGAAAAAATACTATGTGTAATTTGATTTAAAAGATGTGTATATCTGATATGTAGTAGATAGGGAAATATTGTTATGAAAGTAGAATGAAGGTGGTAAGCTTAAACAAACAACTAAAGGGGACAATTCTTAAAATTAATAGAATAAGGATTGACAAAATTGCAAATGTGCCAGATAAAGGCAATATGAATATAGAAACGAGATAAGAATTTTAGATAACATGGTAAAATAAGATATGAAAATATCCTAAGAAAAATGAAATAAGATATGAACTGAGATTGGATAAAATAAGGTTAATGAATTTAATATTAATAAATAATAATGTGATATGAAATTGAATGTAAGATGAATAGGTAACTATGGTCATGTTTGTGTTGAGATGTGAAACTTGGGACCACACTGTTTGCCAAAAGATAATTTTTATTAAAAAAATAAAAAAAAGAAATTGAATAATGAAATTACTAGGTAAATTTAAATAATATCGTGATTGACAGTAGAAGAAATATTGGAATATTGAATAATTAAACAATGAAGGACTATAATTTAATGCAAATATGTGTATTAAGAGAATGGATTTTCTAGTATGCAGAGACTATGATAGGGAAGGCACAGAGTGTATTCCTTTTTTTTTGTATAACTTTTTATATAGGTTTTTACATAGCTAAGAAACAAATACAGAAGTGAATAAAGAAAAAATACAGAAATAAGAAAGACAGCTAAAAAATTATTTTCGCCCTTCTTTACAACCATTCCAAACTCATTATCCCTCCTCCCTTCTTAACATTACAATAATTTCTTTTTCTTTTTGTCAAATTCTTTTTATTGTAATCTACACATACACATCAATACATAAAGTGTGGCACCAATGCATCATACATGTTAATACAGATAAAGATAATAATATTAATCATTTTTCTTGAGATACATCTAGACCAGGTGTATCCAGTTTGTGGGTCACATGTGGCCCTGGACAGCTAATCACACAGTCCCACAAGATAATAAAAAATATAAAAAATAAAGGAAGTTCATTATCAATACACATTAAACTATATTTTTTATATGTGGCCCAAGCCAATTCTATTCACTTTTGACAGCTCAGGCTAGCCAAAAGGTTGCATGTCGATGATCTAGATCAGGGGTGTCAAACTCATGGCGTCACAGCGGTGTCACATGATGTATCGGGACTTTTCCCCCCTTTGCTAAACCAGGCATGGGCATGGCCAGCATGTGATGCATCTGGCCTCTGGGCTGCCAGTTTGACAGGCCTGATCTAGACCCTAACCTGGCTATGTTTAAAACAGTCTTGGAAACTTGAGTTAATGTCCTCTTGTGTGTCCTGGGTCATTAAGTGGAGCATGGCGGTGCCTCAATGATGAGGGAGACTCTGGGGACCTAGTGCAGGCACAAGGCTACCTGCCTCGGGCCTCCCAAGGCCTCCTCCCACCTCCTGAAATACTCCATGCTCCCATTCTTGTCCCCTGGAGTCTTCACAGCCACGTGGGCCTCCTCCCCGTGGGCCTCCTCCCCATCGCCTGTCACTAATCATTCACTTACCTTTCAAAGATCCCCAGAGCTCAGGCGGTCTGGGTGGGGAAGGAGGACAGGCTGCTCTGTTGCTGGACCTTGTGGCAAAATCAGCACCATAAGCAACCATCTTTTTCTGAGTGAAAAATAACACTGGCAAATATCTTGGTTTTCTTTTCCTTACTAAAGCTAGCCTGCATTATGACATAACGCTGGAGTTATTATAGCTAATGACAGAAAGGGAAAAAAATCCTCTCAATTTTTTTTCAAGTTAAAGCTAGCTTAACCAGGTTAACACTAGCATAAAGGCCCTACAGGTCTCTATATCATGGTATGGCTACACTTAGTAGTTCTTTAGCCACCATGTTTTTTCTAGGATGGATTTCATCTGGCACCCTCCTTCAAACTCTGATATGTGAGATAGGGCTTTTACATTTTGTGTAACTTAAGGCTACAGATATCATTCTTTCCCCCTTCCCTTTTGGGAAGGCTCACTAATCTCACAAGAGATAAACAACATCATTTTTTAAAAAAAGTAGGTTATTAAAGGATTTTTTTTTCTGCTTTAATAGGCACCAGAAAAACTCAGTGGCAATATATTAAAATACAGAGTTGTACACATCTTAGAAACGTAATCTCACTTAAAAAAAAAAAAAAGGAAAATATAAGGTCCTGAGCAGTGGTAGGATTCAAATAATTTAACAATTGGTTCTCTGCCCTAATGATATCTTCCAACAACCAGTTCACCAAACTGCTCAGGAAGTTAACAACCGGTTCTCCCGAACTGGTGCGAACTGGCTAAATCCCACCACTGGTCCTGAGTACA